AAATGAACCTTGGGCACCAGTACTGTGAGGCAGCAATGCTAACCATGTCCCACCCACTAAGAAGCCATTTCAGAATACATTTACAAATGCTATGAAGACACTGTAGTATAAAAGTATAGTATAAAAGTGAGAAGATTTACATTTACTTTCAGTGCAGCTGGTAAGGAAAACTTACAAAACTTACAAACAACAGTAGAGTTTAAAAATGTATTTTTTCCCCCACATGGCCCTACTGGTGATGTTTAGAGCAAAGCAGCAGCGAAGTCAGGAGGTGCAAAATACCAGTGGGACATCATGAAGTCCTTGGGCCTGCAGGATAAAGATATTGCAAACTTTGCTGAAGCAGACTTCTGGCTGGATTACTTCCCACCACTGGCGGTTCAGGACATGAAAAGCATGGGAGTCAAGGTAATCCTTTAGTCCAAGGAAGAAACGAACAGCTCCTTGTCATTCCATTTATAAATACTTGGAATTGACATACTCATAGGGTTACAGTCTGGAAGTAAAAAAAACAACAACAAGTAAACATGTTGAAGCTACCGCTTTAATAATCCTGGTTGATTTATTTGCCATGTTTTCAGAAATGTACTGTTTCATCTGTCTTAGGTGAACATTAATAGAACTGTTTTTGCAGGTGGACTGGCGTCGCTCCTTCATTACAACGGATGTGAACCCATACTACGATTCCTTTGTAAGATGGCAGTTTGTGACTCTAAGAGAAAGGAAGAAAATCAAATTTGGGAAAAGGTAAGTCTATTTTTACTAATATTTTTGTTTCAATGCAACCTCTGCTGATATCGGATCCTTCTCTGATACTCAGATCTCAGAAAAGGCTTTGCAATTTTTTTTTAAGTGAAAGGTGGATTGTTAGTATCTTCAATGCATTGCTGTCAATTTTTGTATCCAAGGGATGTATATTATAGAAGAAAAAAAATGGTGAAGTCTGACGGATAGTTAAGCATTGTGATCTTAATGGTTTCTGCATTTAATTATAAGGATGCTATTTCTGTAATCATGAGAACTCATTGATTAACATTTGTAAGGTAGACTGTGATGCATAAACATACAAACACCTTAATTGATTTAGTTTATTGCATCGTCATGCTTTAATTCTGTCTTCTGTATTTACAGATATACCATCTATTCTCCTAAAGATGGACAGCCATGCATGGACCACGACAGACAAACAGGGGAGGTGAGAACAAGTGACAGCCCGTGTCAATTCTAAACCACTTTGGTAAATTTCTTTCAAAACTGAAAGCTCTTTGTTGTCTTTCTAGGGAGTTGGACCACAGGAGTACACTTTAATTAAAATGAAGATGATTGAGCCCTTCCCCCCAAAACTAAGGTACACAGTTATAGTTTTTTTCTTCAATTAAAAATAAGCCTTGGGCAGCACAGTGGTGCAGTTTAGCGTCACTGCCTTGCAATACTGGGGCCTGGGTTCAGTTCCTCAGTTACAAACTCCACATATTTAGTTTGTTCTGCTCATGTTTGCATCCCACAGTCCAGAGACATACTGGTAGGTTAATTTGTTTCTGAGAAAATTGGCCCTGGTGTGATTGAGTGCATGTCTGTAAATGTGTTGCCTGCTGTTACTTGCCAGGTTAGGCTATGGTACCCTGCATCGCTGTACTGGATAAAGCGGTTCGAAAATTGGTGGATTGGTAGATGAAAAAATAAGTCTTAAAGTTTTGGGAGAAATGTATCTACAAAGAAACGAGACAGTCATGCAATCCTGTGTGTGTACTGAGTTTGAAAATTCATCTTTTGTTCGGGTAACAGAGAATCCTGGTTTATTTCCTTTGTTTTTCTGCAGTGGCCTTAAAAATAGAAAAATATTCTTGGTTGCGGCCACTCTCAGACCAGAGACCATGTTTGGCCAAACAAACTGCTGGATTAGGCCTGACATGAAGTACGTCGCCTTTGAGACAGTGAGCGGGGATGTGTTTATTTGTACCCGGAGATCAGCGAGGAACATGTCCTTCCAAGGTTTTACTAAAGAGAATGGAGTAGTGCCGGTGATAATGGAACTTTTGGGCCAGGTATACAAACCTGAATGCAAACTATGCTGTTTTTCTTTCCAAGCTTTGTTACAGGCAAAACAGTGTGTCCTTCTCTTTTTTTTCAGGACGTTCTTGGATGTGCCCTAAGTGCACCCCTTACGTCGTACAAAACCATCTATGCTCTGCCTATGCTTACAATTAAGGAAGACAAAGGTATTGATCTTATTCCTGTATACTGTAGCTTAAAGCTCTCTGCACCATAAAACAATTCTGCAGTGATCCAATACCCCAAGTTCTGTTTACTATTGTGTCAAAAATGATGTTTTTGCATAGATTTTTTAAAATCCTATTTTGTATGCTTGCAAATGAGCTTTCAATTGGGAGCATGCATTTGCATGATGAATGCTTTTTTTCTGATATACAATCCTCATTACAGTATTATTTAGAATTTGTGAGACTGTGACTGAAATAGTTTGAACAAGGGAGAAAAAAAGATGTAATTATCATTTAAAACTCCAGAGTTAATTTAATAAACTTCATGTAGCAGTCAGACTACATTTCCTGAGGTGAGTCGCTGTAATTCAGTGTGATGGACCCTTGTCTCTCCAGGATCATCATCTTCACTGACTTGTCAGGTGTAAATTACCGATGTCCTAAAAGTCCTGGGGCATGGAAGAACAGGAAATTATAGAATTCATCACCAACAGGCGTTTCCAGCAAATTTGATTTCCAGTAAAACGGCATCCACTCAGATGCAGTCTCATGTAATTTGAGAGTTGAGGGAAAGGTCCTAGGTCTCTGTGCTGCTTGTGACTCTGTTCCTAATGGTGATTCCAGGCACTGGAGTAGTCACCAGTGTTCCCTCTGATTCTCCTGATGACATTGCAGCCCTCAGAGATCTGAAGAAGAAGCAGGTGAGTTTGATATTTGATAGGACCTTCCTTTGAATGCGCCCTGTACAGTATGTTTTGAGTGTAGTTTTGTTGGGTTTTGATAAACACTTTCCTGTTAATTTCATATATTAATTTATTGGTATGTAGACCCACTGTATAGTAGTGTCTCGACATCCATAAATTTAACACTTATTCGTGATTCGATCGAGCTGATGGGTCTTATATGGAAGAAGAGCAGGTTGAAACTGATCTGCAGGTTGTCAAGCTCAACTTTCAGTTTAGCCACAGAACTGATTAGGATCGTAAGACAAATCGAACTAGTGAGTGCACCTCCCAGGTATCCACTACCCAGCATTTGCATCTCAACGTGGTCTTGGTTTTGTTTTGTTTTGTATTGTATTACGTTGGGTAATGACAGGCTAGGCGTGTCTTCACAGGTGCAATGTCAGTTTATTTGCCCTTTTCATTACAGCAGAGCCAGAGAGTGCAGGCATCTGCTGGGCACAGAGCATTGATTCATGTTTTTTGTTTTAGCTGATTACTATAAATTTTGTGATTACTGTTATTTTAATTGATCTATGTCATCTAAATAATCTAAAAGACAATACAATAGTATTTTAATTACCATATACAGTATGGGAGGTTTACTCATTAATTTTAACCATGCATCCTACATAGTGTAGTACATTTAGGAGTGAACTTGGTTTATGTGAGTTCAACTATTCATGACGGTTCTCTGCACTAAACCCTCACGAATGTCAAGACCTTACTGTATTATATGTGAAATAGTTGAGGGAGGAAAGGTCAAGTTTTAATAAAGATGTTTGTTATTAGGGTAAAAAAGTTTTGTTTTGCAGCACCTTAATGTGAGCAGTCATTCTGGTAGCTTGTGGAGCTCGAGGTGTGTTGTGTGCTTTGGTTTGACAGTGCAAGGTTTAAGACATTGGTCACAGCAATTGTTTTTCTGATGTTGATTTGAATTTCTTTTGTAGGCACTGAGGGAGAAATATGGGATCACAGACAAAATGGTTCTACCATTTGAACCAGTAAGTTTTAATTGAAAATCCGTTTTAAATTTAAGAACACTGTTAGTGTTCAACTGGAGATCTTGAGAAGAGAGACCTGTATAATGGAGACATCAAAAATGTCTGCATTCGTAAGGTTGTTTATTTAAAATAATACATTAGGGTGAAATTTATTTTTGTGGTATGACTCTTTCATGGTTTGGTAGTCAGGTATGCATGTGTGTTTGTGATGTGTAATCTAATCTATCTGTTTTGTGTCTGTCCCGTAACGAACCAGGTGCCCATCATTGAGATCCCAGGATATGGAAATCTCTCAGCTCCGCAAGTATGTGACGAGCTGAAGATTCAGAGTCAGAATGACAGGGAGAAACTGGCAGAAGCAAAGGAAAAGGTCTACCTAAAGGGATTTTATGAAGGAGTAAGTGTTTGTAGCTATACAGAGATTACAGTTTGGGTTTGGCAGATATGCTAAGTGTACTGCTTGAGCATTGGATAAAATACCTTGATGGATGGATTGCATGTAGTGTTTAGTTGTTCTTTTAAAATACAGTCATAATAAATAGTTATTTATCTTCATGGAATTGGATAACGGAATCAAGGGTGCTGTAAAGGCTTCTAGTACCTGTGCTTTGTGATTAGAGTAAGTGTGAAATTGTACATGTGTTCTAAGTAAGCTTGTGTCAAGTTGGTCTATCTTTTGGAAGCTAAATTGTTTGTATCTTTGCAACAGGTCATGTTGGTGGAGGGGTACAAGGGGCAGAAAGTACAAGAAGTGAAGAAAGACATTCAGAAGAAAATGGTTGAGGATGTAAATATGCTTTAGAATTTTATTTTCCTACTGTATCTATCAGTATATTTATTTCCTTTTCAGATGTCTGATTCTATGATTGTATGTTGTCCTTCCTTCAAAGAAGTGGTGAAATGGAAGGAAACCCAAATTTTAATGGGTGCCGTTTGACCTTTACGGAATTTTTTTAATGTACTGGGCTTACCTATAATAGTTAAGTATTTATGTGCGAACAAACAAATTGTACTGGGAGAGAAGACCTAACGAATTAATGGGCAGTTAATAGCCACAGTAAAAAGTCATGTGAAGTGAAACTCTTCTGTCACCCTGTAGGATGAGGCCCTGGTTTACATGGAGCCTGAAAAACAAGTGATGTCCCGGTCAAGTGACGAGTGTGTGGTTGCTCTTTGTGACCAGTGGTAAGTGTGTCTCCCAATCCTGCTGTGCATAAAGAGGAGAACTCTTGTTCTCTAACTAGTTTCTGCTGCGTAAGTGAAAAGTGAAAACTTTTCACATTCCATCCTAGATTAAATTTCATTTTTGTTGTAGTTTACAGTGTCTTAATATTAGCAATTGGACACAAAAAAGGATGCAGTTTCAGTTTAATTTTCTCAGCCTTGTAAAATTTTAATTTCTAAATAGAATATTTAAAATATACCATGCCTGCATAATCACTTGTCCAGCAGTTGTTGTGTATTTTATTCTGTAAGCTTTTTGCCATTTTATACCAGTGGTGATTCTCTAATATGTACATTTATAATTAGTAATGCTGTTCCATTTTGTTCTTTCAAAACAATGTGTTCAAGGATCATAATGGGGAAAAAAAGAAGAAAGATCTTGTCCTAAAAGTTAATACAGGTAGTAAGCAAGGAGAGACCATTCAGCCAGTCTAGCCCATAACACTGTCAGTAGCAAATTGATCTCATCCAGCCTCTTCTTGAAAGAAGCATTTTTACTGGTTTCACATAAAACATCCCTTTGTGTAAAGAAGAGCTTCCTGTTCCTGGTTTTAAAAGCACCTTAACCCAGTCTCCACCTGATGTGCAACAACAGGGTTTTAGAAGGTTTACAGTCCAGGATGGTTCACAAGTTAATACTGTACATGCGTTGGTTGCTCATTTTAAACATGTATTCCAATTCTGGTGATTGTACATTTCAGACAGACTATTTGTTTCCCAGGTATTTGGATTATGGAGACAAAGAGTGGAAAGAACAAGCCTCCGTCTCCCTGAAAAATCTTGAAACGTGAGCCCTTTCACATATTAATATTAAAAATCAAATGAGTTTTCTTTTTATGCAAAAACGTGAATATTTTATTTCATGGTTCTTACTCGTTAATTTGAAGTTGGTTGGGGGGAAACTGTACATCATCACCAGGTCTCAACCATTAGCGCAGAGCAATTTCAGTCCAAGTAATATCATGTCAAACCTGTACAGGTTCTGTGATGAAACCAGGAAGAACTTTGAAGCGACTCTGGCTTGGCTGCAAGAACATGCCTGCTCCAGAACCTATGGATTAGGTGAGCTGACAGTGGATTGTAGTAATTAAAAAAACAGAAATAAAATTGCTTCTTTTACATGCAAACCGTCTCCTTTAATTTGTTTTTCATTTAGATTTTGTTTTTTTGTAGGAACCCGTTTACCGTGGGATGAGCAGTGGCTGATCGAGTCCCTTTCAGACTCCACCATATACATGGCTTACTATACAGTGGCTCATTTTCTCCAAGGCGACGTTCTGAATGGACAAGGCCCTTCTCCTCTGGCCATCAAGTAGGGCTTGTTAACATTGTGCACGTTTTACGAGATTAACAGCATACGGTGGTTACTCCAAGATGCCTCTTAAAGGAAATAGATTGTTTTGACCAGTGCTAAATAATATACTGAGGGGCATTAAAAATTCAACAAATGCTCTTGGTTCCAATACTCATATGTTGCATTTTTAATGCATCTCATTATATTATGCCCATAGAACCGTTTATAATAATGAAAGAGTCAATATTTTATAAAGAACCTTCCATGACAAGCCATTTGCTCATTGCAAAGCACAACACATATAAATTCAGTCTAACACTACATACAGTGCAGAGAGTAGATTGAGATACAAATAAGTCAAATCAAACTGAACAATGGTGAGTTTTAAATCAAATTCACTGATTGCTCTGGGAAGGGTATTCCACTTTTTATAAGTACAGGAACAGAAGGATCCTGTCTCATGTGGACCACAGGTTAATGTCTAGGAGTAAAATTATACAAGGCCTCAATGTCAAAACTAAACGTTTAACATCAGTACAAAACTCAGTAATAAAACAATACTAAGATTCTAGAACAGGAGTAAAATAAACTTTAAGATTGAGATTTGGTCACTCGATGTAGTTGGAGAATAATAGTTATCAGTACAAGAGGGGACAAAGGTGTGAACCAGCTTCTTTGCACTGGGAATAGAAAGAGGAGATCCTAGTTATGTTCTGTACCAAATTATTTTTTTTAAAGGTTAAAGTAAAAATTGAGTATTATTCTTTAAAGGGGAAATCTCAACTTACTCCATTTTGTGATTTGAGCTCTCACGTGAAAAGAACTGCATTTCAAATAACTAGGTGCTTAGTTTACAGCTTGATAATTTGTACTGGATACAGAATTTTAGTTGGTAAATGCCACCTAACACTGTAGTTCTTTATCATGCTTAATTTATGTTTTATTGTTTTGCTTCCTATGTGGGAGAGGGTATAGAAAGATCATGTTGATTCTTTTAGGAATTTTTTGTTACTGAATCAGGAGTAGTATGTAGTAATAGTAATTTTTCAATCCATTTATACTTTTCTTTTGTTTTACACAGGCCAGAGCAGATGACAAAAGAAGTCTGGGATTATATTTTCTTTAAAAACTCTCCCTACCCTAACACAACGATTCCCAAAGAGCACCTGCAGAAGCTGAGGAGAGAATTTGAGTACTGGTATCCTGTTGATGTGCGAGCATCTGGCAAGGACCTGGTGCCAAATCACCTTTCATACTATCTATATAACCATGTGGCCATGTGGCCTGAAGACAGGTGAGCAGCATACTGTACACCTGTCTCTGTGACAGTAAAGCACTTAAGCCTATGCAGAAACCTTTAGTATTAGGTATAGGTATATTCTATACTGTAATTCCCTGATAAAACTGTATTGTAATTTTGTGAAGACAATATTTACAGATGGGTGACTCAGTGCCACAATTGTAGTTGTAATTATTATGATTATTATTAATAATAATAATGTAATGCTTATGAAAACTAATTTATAAAAAACATGAAAAGACTAGAAATCACAGACTAAGATTTATAATGGTCTTTTTGCAAGATTTATACATACAATTATTAATAATTGGAGATGCTTAATGTGCGTGTGCTCTGTATGGTTTTGGCCTTTTGTCAGGGCGTCTACTCTTTTCATCTGAGAAAATGTTACACAAAGGAAATACATTTCTCAGCTGTGCTATTGGAACTTTAAAAAAAGTTAAACTTTTCTCACAAAGAAGTTAAAGGGAAGTTATTAACTAAAACTAAGTAAGGTCTTTGACATGTACTGTATAAGGAAGAAATGACCTTTAGAAAAATGAAAAATACAGACTTTTTAGAAACCCATTAGAATGGAAAAAAAAAACTGTAAATGACCTAAATAAAGGTCTTGACTGACGGCAGCATTCTGTTGTCCTCTGCTTGCAACCAAAAGGCTGTGAAACTAAATGCCTAACAGTATTAAGTCAGGCTGACAGTTTTATTTTTGTAATGCAAAATGCTGTCCAACTGTCCAGCTATTAGTACTTGAATTATCATATAATGGAGGCTTACTTATGTCTTTTAACCATGCATTATGGGGTGGATTTGGTTATTTTCTCTGCATCGAATCCTAATGAATGTCGAGATCATACTGTATTTCTATTCTTAATCTAAGGAAATTGTTTTTTTTTAATTCCACAGTGGAAAATGGCCTGTAGCGGTCAGAGCCAATGGACATCTTTTGCTGAACTCTGAGAAGGTATGTCTTTAATATGAGGAAAGTATTATAATTACAATGTTTTTTGCATACCTGAATTTATCTTTAAGGTTGTCAAGAATTACCAGAACATAATTCTACACTGTAATATATTCTCTAAAAGCATTTATGTGAACCTTAAAAAGTCACCATGAGTTTTTTTTTAAATCAAATGTTTGTGACTTTAATATTGCAATTACTCCAGACAGATATTCATTGTCACTTGCATGTAATCGGGGAAGAAGGTATTCTTCAAGCTCCACACCAATATCTTATTTATATTATATAGATGGTGAAATGGTTTGAGGATTGAGAGAGCAGAGAGTGCAGATAAGGGAAGAATGCTCAAATTGGGGTGATGCAATTAGTGGAGTTGCACAGGGATCTGTCCTAGGGCCACTGCTCTACGTTATTGATATTGATTATCCGTAATTTGTTGTAGTTGGTAAAATAGTCGCAGTCAGTCCAAATTAAATCTCCAGAGAAGTGCAACCAGTAACATTGTTGAACTAAAGAGAATGTCCTGACAGGATGAACTTTTTCAATCTCAGACAGACAAGACTGTAAGGAGACTGATTCATGCATTCAAAATCCTCAAAGGGATTGACAAAGTCATCGTAGTAAACGTCTTTTAAATCAGCAGTGAAACAACAAAAACAGACTGTATGTCACGAGTGGAAACTATGTGGAAGTGTATTTAAATCTAAGTACTATTTTACAGGGTTGTGGGAGAATGGAACATGAAGCTAAGACCCTAAAGCCTGGCTTCTTTCAAGATACAGTTTACCTTGTAGTATCTTATATGAATATCCTGAGATCATTGGATAAATAAGTTAAGAACTACTGATGGCCTCCTCTTGTTTGTAACCTTTCTATTTTCTTATTTGTGTAATTGATTTTGATTGCTTTATTTAATTTCAGATGTCCAAATCTACAGGGAACTTTCTAACCTTAATCCAGGCTGTCAATAAATTCTCTGCTGATGGTAAGATGAGATTTGAGGGCCTTTGAAGTTTTTCACATTGCATTTACTGGTATTCCGTTATTAATTTGTGAATATAACTATATTTTTTTAAAGCTTTTTTCATGTAGTGCTTTACATGAAAAAAAATCATGCTGTTAGTATACATTTTTTTTCTATAAATATTTGGAGTATATTCCTTAGTTATTAATTATCACAGTCTCAAAGCAATGTGATGTACGAATTCTTTAAATTAGTCCCACAAGCTGGTATTAGTTAGATCTGAGCTAGACCCTGCATTAGAAAGACTATTAATGCAGATTTCATTTCAACTGACCTAAATTTAGATTTTTCAAGAGGCTTGACTCATTTCTCATTTATGCTGCTTTCTTTTAGGTTTCTTTCATCTATGACCTATAATATTTACAGGTGTAGATAAAGCTGCAACCATATGGTTTCACAGCTGGAGGTGGTGAATTTGCCAGTTTTTTCTTTCTTTCTTAAAAGGAACAAAATGCTTCCAGGTTTTATAAATAAATCATTATTTTAAGTTACTTACTTTACTGTTCAAGTAAAAATATTAAACTACATGAAAGTTGACTTGTGAAAACGGGGTATTTCTTAACACAAAGGGTTGTGGGAGTATAGAGCAGGATGCCCCAACCATGCAGCCAAATGTCTATTTTATTTCATGAAATGGCTGGATGAGATTTTCTAATTAATTGGCTACTTCCTACCAATGGGATTGGATGGGGCTTCCTCATAAATATAGGATACCCATACATAAGATGTTTTATATACTGTAAATCTAGGAATGGCCTTTAAACCAGACAGCCCCCTGAGGTGCCACTTCCTATTTATATTCATGAATATTTTTTGCTATTACAATATTCTGCAGAACTAGTTCTGTTTTAACTGGCACCCGGAGTATATTTATCCCATTTGCATTTATAGCAGTTTGAAATGCAGTTTCCTTTTTTAAAAGAATATCTCCAAAAAAACACTTGGCTAAGCCTGATAAAATAATATTTTATCTAATATTATTAAAAGCACAATCTTATTCTCATGGAGGAATTAAAGGATGTGTGAATTGGTTTAACAGGGGTGACACCTCTGTGTAGCCTGATTTTTTTTTTCAGAAACTAGAAAAGACTGCACCTTTTCAGCACTAGGAAGGTACTTGCTAAGTAAGGAGTGATAGTGTGGCATTCTTCCCACTGGATTAGAATTTCCAACCTGAGCCACCTGTCAGTATGGCGACAGCAGACACCATCCCTTGGATAAGACGTTAAACTGAGGTCATGACTATTATAATCACAGGTTTCATGGCATTGTTCATAATCATTGTTAATCTCACAGAACATTAGAAATACAATTAAACATAAATTAAAATTACAATTGACACAAAGCCATTCAGCTCATTTAGTATTTGGACGCTTATAGGTCTGAGGATCTCATTTGGCCACTTTTAGAAAAGTGCCAGGGTATCTGCTTCAACAACGTAGCTGGGTAGCTTGTTCCATACTCCCACAACCTTTAGGGTAAAGAAGCACCTCCTGCATTAAATTCTGCATTCGGTTTAGAATTTGAGGAACCAATTGAAGTGGGCTTCTGTGTAGTGGGGCTGCTGGTACATAATTTGTGCTGCAGATCATCCAGGTGGATGCTGCACTTTATTTCTGGATGAAATTCAGCTTTCTGTACGTAAATCCTCTGGGGCTGTACGTGCTATAAAAAGCGCGAGCAATTAGAGGTGTGGAGTTAGTCTGGGGAGAAGGGCGTCTAACAGGTTTTTGTCTCATGCTCCTCAGGAATGCGCCTGGCCCTAGCGGACGCAGGAGACACGGTGGAAGATGCCAACTTCGTGGAGGCCATGGCTGATGCGGGTATTCTGCGCCTCTATACCTGGGTGGAGTGGGTGAAGGAGATGATAGCCAATCAGAACAGCCTGAGGAGCGGGCCTGCCAACACTTTCAATGACCGAGTCTTTGCAAGGTACTGAGATTTTATTTTGTATTGCGTTCCCTTTGCATGGGTCTTTCTGGCCTGTTTGGTTATGTCTAGGTTCAGGAACAGAGCCAGCATTTCTCCTTTTCTTGCCATTCTCCTTTGCTTTTTTTTATGCTTGTGCTTTAAAATGATTATTTTATCTGTTGGTTAAAATGATCACGATCATTTAATAAACATACCAAGTGAATTTTTGAATTATTTTCTGTTCTGTGTGAAGTGAAATGAATGCAGGCATCATCAGAACAGACCAGCATTATGAGAAGATGATGTTTAAAGAAGCTCTGAAATCTGGCTTCTTTGAATTCCAGGTGGGTCGTTATTTTCTATGGGGTTTTTACTTTTTTATTACATAGCTGGAAATGCTTTTGTAAAAGTGCAAGTGATGGTTTGGAGGAGTTCATTCTCATGTGTCACATGCTGAGCTTATATTCTCATTCAGGATGGATAGTGTTCTTTATTTTTTCTTGGGACTTTGCAAAATAGTTTTTGCAGTGCTTTGAACAGGAAGTCAAAAAGAGAGGAATGGTAACTTTCTCTTGTTTTAGCTTCAGCTTATTAATGCTTTACAATGTGGTCTCTCTAGGCAGCGAAGGACAAGTACCGTGAGCTTGCCATTGAAGGGATGCACAGAGACCTGGTTTTCCAGTTTATAGAGTTTCAGACTCTTCTTTTGGCTCCTATCTGCCCTCACCTGTGTGAATACACCTGGACGCTTCTTGGAAAGGTAAAGCTGGACAAGAAAAAAAACTGATCTGAAAGGTTAAAATAAATCACTTTTGAATTCTGAGGAGAAGCAGACAGCTTGTTTCCCGAAACGAAATTAGACAGCTCCTTGAGAACCAAGAACTGGTAAAGATTATCTGATAAACAGCTGAACAAGCAGTGAGATGAAATAAATGGAGGATCTCTTGAGGTCTGGTGTGCATGTTTTTGTGATGAGACGTGCTGCTTGTCTTTTCCCCTTCCACTAATATCAGCTGTTGTTCCCTCCAGAGCGGATCACTAATGAAGGCTGCCTGGCCTGTTGCTGGCCCTGTGGATGAAATCTTGATAAGATCTTCTCAGTATCTAATGGAAACCGCTCACGACCTGCGTCTGCGTCTGAAGAACTATATGCTTCCTGCCAAGGGAAAGGTAATAGAGGGCAAAAAGTTATTTTGTGTACCAGAAGAGAATTTATTCTGTATCTCTGTCACAGTGCTGAAGCACATAAGTATTTGCACTTCATTTTTAAATCTTTTCATTTCTTTACTCTGGTTTACATTTGTTCAGTTTAAATAATTTAACACTTTCACGTTGATTGCTGGCCTTTTTTTTTTAAAAAAAAAATGTTTTTTACAATGTGTCTTTGTTGCCCTGTGTAATATCAAAGTTCTCAGCAGCAGTCAGCATCAGCTCCTTTGGAACATTTGTCAGGACTGAGTTTTCTGTTAGTTTTTTTCATCTGAGGAAAGTCAGTGAACAATTTTCTGCAGTGATGTAAAGCAACTTGACAGCTGTCATGTAAAATGAGTTTACGGATACCCAAGCTTTGTTAACAGCAAGAAGTGCTTTTTTTGCAGGGCTTTTAAGAGAACACACGCCTCCAGTTTTCAGTACATTACATAAAATGCTTATGTATGAAAGTGGCTTATGAATCATTAAAATTGCTCTCCTGTTTTGTTTGTGTTTCTGAAGCTCTGCTGTAATGGGCATCATAACAAATTAAAAATACTTCTCAGGCTGCATTTGTCATCTTACAGTGAATGAGCTAGCAAGCTTTTTTGATTTTCTCAGAAAGGAGACCAAAAGCCCCCTTCGAAACCCTCACACTGCACCATCTATGTGGCCAAGACTTACCCACCTTGGCAACACAGCACTCTGAGTCTGCTGCGCAAGCATTACCAGGCAAGACACTTTCTCCGACCGCTCCTCTCCTGCTCAGCTAGAGTGGGGAAATTGATTTATTTCTCTGTATTCTGAGGCTGGATCCTCTAGATGAGTCTTTTATACATAGCCTTTCCTTTCATCTGGGTCTTAAAATATTGAGAGACAGAATAACTTCAAACAGTCATGCTTGCATAATGGTGAAGATTTGAATAAAAAAACACATTGTACATAGTTGTACATAGTTTAAATTTTGGATTTCAGTTTCCAGGCAGATAAAAACCTTGAAGTCTTGAAGTCTTTCTTAAGTTTGTACCTGCAGTCTAACTTAATGTTAGAGTATACAGTATATCTTCCTTAATTGTTCTGTTTGGTTGAAAACGAGACTATTTACTTTCCCTTACAAATGAGCTAATATAGGATATATAATATAAAAATCATGTATTTCAACAGTGTAAAGCCCCTGTCCTAAAGTACCAATACAACCAGAAGCTGTAATTTTTATTTGTTAATTTTTCTTAGTTATAGTTAGTTTCCAACATTTTATAATAAGTGGTTAATGTAGCTTCAGTTCCACAGTTCTGTCCTAATTCTCATACTTTAAAAGCAGATTTTCTTAAATCCTATTAGAGTAATTAATATTTTTAGTCTAAGTAGGATTTAATGACATTTAGTTCAAGTACTGTAGGTGGCTGTGGAGCCTTCTTCAGGTGTTCTTCAGCTGAAACATGTTTCGTTTCTTCTGTTTTCAGCATGGAATAAACCTTTACTTGTCCTTTTAATGACATTTTATTTTACCAAGCTTAAAATAGTGCTCAAGCTGATGAAGTAGCTGTAAGAAAATAGTTACCATTTAACAAAGTAATAGTTCATTAAAGAAAGCAGATGTGTCAAATGTTCCAAAAATAAATGCATCTATTACATTTTTTCTTATATCATCCTGTAGTTTATTTTTCACTAGAGTTGTTTCAAACAACAAAATGAGCTGAAGATTAGTTCCATTTGAAAAACAGATTTCCATGCGCACATGCCTTTGAGGGCTTTAATGTTTCATTAAAAAAAGTCTTCCAGCACATCTAATAGAATTCAGGAATAACGATATGTGATTGAGAGTTTTGTTTGGCAAGACTACAGATTTGAATCTAATGTTTTTTATGTTGTCTGATGATTTTTTTTTCTTTCAATTGTGTGATTGTTTGGCCTTATTTGTTCAAATATTTTCAGGCAAACAATGGGACTCTGCCAGAGAATAAAGTGATAGCAAGTGAACTGAGCACATTGCCAGAGCTGAAAAAATATATGAAGAGGGTGATGCCTTTTGTTGCTATGGTGAAGGTAAGCTAAGCATTTATGTAAATTTTCTCAAAAATTGCCTTATTTTATACTCCACCGAGTCCTGAACTTGAGTTCAGGCAGAATAGACATTTGCTTACTTAAATTCCCTGAGCTTTTTCCATCCTGTCCTGAAGCAGCTAGTGCTTTAAAACATAATCTATGAGAGAACACCCAATTTATAGTTTCATACAATCCAGGTTTATGTACAGTATGTGCTATATAACATCTGCTCTGTTTGATCAAGTAACAGTTCCTTCCTGGTTTTCTTAAATCATATGAGTGATATGAATAATTTAAATCTTTACTAAGCAGGATTTTAATAAACCTTTGATTTTTTTAGTTACAGTAACATAAAATAATGCTAAAGCTGATAAATTACCTCTGAGAAAGATTTAACAAGATAAAAGTTGAAATGAATTCATTCACAACTTTTTTTATGCCTAACTACTTCCTTTTAAGAAAGACAAACCTGAAACAATTCAAACTGCGCTAGTAAAGCCTCATTTAAATTGTGTACAATTTTTGGATGTCACATTATAGAAAACATGTGCTCTACAATCTGTCCAGATAAGAGAAACAAGATTTATGAAATCTTAAGGGATTCTCCTACTCAGACTGTCAGAAACTGAACCTTTTTTTAGTCATGAACATAGAATATTATGGAGGGACCTGATATAAGTACTGTACAAAATCCTCAGTGTCAATGCAGTAGATTTGTACAGAATGAACAGTGACATGTGAACCTGATGGCAAAAGTGGAAACTTTAGGAATAAGTATTTAAAATTGAGTACAGGAGATGCTTCTTTACCCTAAAGGTTGTGAGAATGTGGAACAAACTACGCAACTACGTAGTTGAAGCAGATACCCTGGCATTTTTCTAAAAGTGGCTAAATGAAATCCTCAGACCTATAAGCATCCAAATACTAAATAAGCTGAATGGCTTTGTGTCAATTGTAATTTTAATGTATTTTTAATTGTATTTCTTGTGTTCTTAAACAGCAAAGAACTAAAAGGTGCTTTGTTCTTTAGGAAAACCTGGAAAAGAATGGAGCCCGGGTGCTGGACCTTGAACTGGAGTTTGATGAACGGGCAGTGTTGCTTGAAAATATTGTTTATTTAACAAACTCCCTTGAGGTAATTAACTTTATATTTAATTTTTCTTTTTTTTTAGCAATAAGAATGGATTAATTCAATGTATTTTATATATATATGCCATATAGGTCTTGTGCTTCAGTTTTTTGACAGTCTTGTCTATTATTGGGTGACAATTTTCTACTTGTTTTCCAGCTTGAGCAGATTGATGTGGTTTTTGCTTCAGAAGCAGATGACAAAATAAAGGAAGATTGTTGTCCAGGGAATCCATTTTGTGTCTTCAGATCAGAGGTATATTAAAAACTTTTGTGACTAATCATTTGCTAAATATTGGGTCTTCATTTATTCTCTTGAGTTCCCATTTGATTACCTACTGTCCAATAACAAAGACCGTATGCATTTTTTTATTTCATAATTGTCATGATTTATGTCCTTGTTTCAATCCAAATTTAATTTTCGATTAAACATGTTGGCATGCCAATGTGTATGTCGTCCAGCTTTAACCTATTTGTCTTGTTGAATTGGATTTTGCATTGTTGATTTTCAAGAGATGCCTTCATTAATGTCATATTAAAAGATATTATTTGTATGGGTATAAAATCGAGATTTTAAACCGTGTATCTTTGTACTTGCTGTATGTTTCTGCAACAGTTATTAGTACATAAAGAAGTGACTTGGCTGTAGCTTTAAAATGCAGTTGAAAGAGAACATTATGATTTCTGTATTTAAATATCTGCTGTGGTGTTACTGTTTATAATGAGGCAAAACAAAGCTACATCTCAGTTCCCACTCTTGTACTTGTGTTTCTTATGTTTCCTGTAGCCTGGTGTCCCTGTGTCCTTTGTGAATCCCCAGCCTGCCAGTGGCCTTTTCTCTACCAAGATTGACATCAGGCAAGGAGACAACAAGAACAGTATCGTCAGACGGCTAGCCAAAATGAACAGACTTATCAAAGGTATGTTCTCGGGACCTGTTCGAGCTCAGTCTCTTTTGCTTTAAAGTGCAAAAATAAGTTAGGAAAGATAGAAACTTTCACCTGCAGCCAAGTGTTGGATCTGATTTCAGATGCCTCCAATCACTTACTGCAAATCAGATTTCATTTCTTACAGGTCTTGTTTTCCTATAAATAAAAAGAACAGTTCCTGAATTCTAGATTGTTTTGATGTTTAAATTATAGTTTATTATAAAATCATGAAGTTCTTTGAAATTAATTGCACATGTATTCTTCAGTTAACAAAAATGAGGAATGAATGTGGTTGTGGGCAGCACATTGGTGCAGCAGTAAGCATTGCTGCTTTGCTGCACTGGAGCCCTGGGTTAAATTCCTGGGGTACTATGTAACTTTTTCTTCTTCCCATGCATGTTTTTTTGCATGGTTTCCTCCCACAGTAAAAAGACATGCTGGGTAATTGGCTTCTGGGAAATTGACCCTGGTGTGACTGTGTGTACTTGTCTGTCTGCCCTGCAGTGGATTGACATCCCATCCAAGCTGTATCCTGCCTTACTCACACAGCTTGTCAGGATAGGCTCTCACTCCCCTGGGACCCTATACTGGTTAGAAAATGAATGGATGGAATGTAGTTAGAGCAGATGTAAAACCAAGCTCCTAAGATCAGTGAGCCTATTTTCCCATGTATGTGTTGTTTAAAGGTGGGTGTTTTCTTCTCTGACATTTCAGATGTGTCAAAAGTCAAGCTGATGAGGTACGATGATCCAGTCCTCGGGCCTCGTCGAGTGCCGGTTCTTGGAAAGGAGGAGCAGGGGAAGACGGTCATCTCAGAAAAGTCCACGTTTCACATCGACCTGGGGGCCAAGAAAGTTCACATTACAGATAACGGCCTCTCAGTGGATGTGGGAACTACTCTAGTTTACCTGGCTTAAAAGTTCAGAGACGGTTAAAATAATAGAGGAGAAATGCATAGGGCTGACACACTGGGCTTCAGACAGAATACATCACTTCCAGTACAGTATTCAACCACTCAGTGGCCACTTGGCTTTCATTCACAATTAAAAACCAAGCCTGGTTCAAACACTTTGAATGTTTTTTTTACATTCTTAAAACTGCAGTCAATTTTTCATTTTCCCTGCATTGTTCCACCCTTTTTTCAGTTTTTTCCCCTTTTTTCTCAAATATAACTGGCAAGAAAAACATGTACAGTAGGGCATTAAACATGAGCAGTAGAAATGCAAAACTCTTTTTCCCAGAGAAAAAAAAAATATATATAATCAAATGGAATTAAGCCTGGCCTTTTAATCCACCCACACTAACACTAGAAAGCAGAAAGTAAAAAGTAATTTTGACTTCAGAAAGCAATTTGATATCAGAACAGTTGTTTCTTGTTGTAATAGAAGGCCGCAGGACCTTGATGAGTTTGTGCTGTGTGGTCATTAATGAGGGACCTTAAATTTTAAAAAGCCATGTAATCAACAATATTTAAAACTGACATTTTCAAGAAAATCTTTAAGCAACCACTCTTCATCTTTTTCTTGTTTTTCTGATTTGCTGTATGTTTTAACTGCTCCTAATTGTAAAAAAAATGTCTTGACTGCCTTACAATGATAATACACAATCTTGGTCTGTATGTGATCATCTGCCATGGTTCTATTCCACAGTTGTGTTAAATAAAGAGCTTAAAGGTACTCACTCTCTGTGTGACAATGTTAAAATAAAATATTACTTTACCAAGGTTTTTTACATAACATTATCTTACCCATGTTCTCACTGGGGTTCCCATCAGTAAAACCTTGTTTTACACCTTGGTAAAAACTTTGGTGTGCACCACATTATTACATTCGAGTTTCCTTTGATTCTCTCAATATTATTTTTGAGGTCCTCCTCCTACAGTACCTAAAATTGTTGCCAAGGACCATCTATTTTTTTGTGTAAAGAAGGTATTCTATATACATTGTTTGCCAAATGTATACTCAGTTTTGAAAAGCATCAACCCAATTGGCGGAGTTTGTCTTGACGACTGAAAAAGACAAAGACGTGCATTTTCATACTGCACGCTTGTGTGGCTTTTAAGCTCTCGCTTGAACTGGCCAAAAAAGGTGATGTGATCTATTTGAGTGCAGGCAAGTTGGAAGGAAATGGTTCAGTAAAAATACCACAACTGTACGTGCTTATGTCTCGGGTGCTTTGAGTAGTTACCTGCAATTTGTGAGGAGCCTAAATATTTCTTCTGGTCTGTGTAAGTCAACCCTCTTTTTTTCCTTTAAAAAAACTGTTTTATTCTTAAATATTATTGTCTTAAGTGTTTTATTAAGTATTTTTTCTATAATTTGCACTTAAGATGTTCCTTGGATATTTTCACTGATGCTACTGTGTAGCCAAACATAGTGCACGCTGGCCTTATTGTCTCTGCAAGCAAGGATCTTGTCCCTGATAATGTTTCTGTCTGCTTCAGCTTTCAGTTATAGAAATTATAATAGTTCCACTTCACTAACTATTGTGAATATTGTCAAAGCAAGTCTTCTTTTTTATTGTTTAACAAATGCTTGGTTTAGGCTTATTTTTGTGCAGTAGTCTCTGCTTTTTCAAATCTGGCTTTCTTATCTGCACTCAAAAATCCATAGGATTGTTGCTTTCTCCATGTAAACTCAAGAATGTATAAGGGGCAATATGTGATAGTCCGGTTATTTTTAGTTTTTTATATATTTTATAATTAGTCCCCTAGTGAAGTAGAAGATGTCTGTTATCTTCTGCGGCCAGCCATGAGAATAACTCAACATGGCAGTTGTGTTATCGGTTGAAACACACCCTGTTCCTAGAGGAGACTATCATTCTACTCTTCTGTTCATCTCACTGCTCCCTTTTTCTACTTATTTTCTGTTAAAAGTCTGTGTCTTTAGAAGTGCAGTTTTTCTGCTAGTGAATCTGCAAAACCTTTCATGAAGTAAGTGGTTTTTTGTTATTTCATGCTATATGACATAGGCTTGTTTTTGTCATTAAATATTTGTACAGTGTATGAACTACCTGTTAAAATGTTTGCTTACTTCATGAAATTTTGTGTTGCAGTATATTAAAGCTGACCACAGCAAACTTAAAGCAGAATTGATACTGCTAGAGACTTGTAGTCAAACAGCAATTTAGTTTTGCTCCCTTACAGTGTTAGATTTTCTTCAGAGTTTCTTGAGTACCACCTTCAAATAAGATTTTTCGTGTAAAGCATCGTTTGTGTTCTAAAAATTAATTTTATTTGTCTAACTCAAAAGTCTGAGTCTGAAAGAATGATGTTTCACTACCCTTTGGATTTGAAGGTTTAATTGATTCCTAATGAATTGAGCACCACCATGGCCGAATTTCCTGTCGTCACTCAGCCTGGCCTGGGAGTCACCACAACAACCATAACCACCATAACACAGACAGGTGGAGACTGGAGCACAAGTCTCTTCAACGTGTGCAGTGACAAAACTGTGTGTAAGCAAACTCTATTGATTCAAATGTATTGATTCAGCAGGGCCCCGTAGCAGTAACATTTGGAAAGTCAATAACCTTAGAACGACCATTGTTGGTTTGCAAGGGCAACATTTAAGATATAGTAGCTTTAACTCATTTTAAAATGTAATTTCTGGATCTGAGGTAAGGGGAAGGAATTGACGTGAGTCTTACAGCAGTAATGGAGGGGATACTGTACATGAAAGTTAACCTATGTCCTTTTTATATTTAGAAAAAAAAAACAGCTGATGTTTTCTTTTTTTAATCTGCTACTCTGTCCCCCTTACTGTCTGAAAGTACATTTTTGACTCTGAGGACATGGCTAAAAGGGTTTTCAAACCTGGTTATTTTCAGCTTTCTGGTTCATTTGTAGGTCTGGTGGGTGCAGTGTCTCCCTGCTGTTTAGATGTCAGTCTTGCCCATCAGTACGGAGAGTGCCTGTGCTTACCAATGCTTCCAGGATCTACATTTGCAATGCGTGTAGGGATAAGGGAGAAATATAAAATACGGGTAAGGCTGTTTCACAGACCTACTGTATATGGATAGGACCACCATGCTCAGGAATGCATTTTCTAGTAGCAACATAATTACTTTGTCTTTTACTTAGGGCAGTTGTGTAACTTTTTGTATTGATTAGACAGGAAAAAATAAAACATTATGGCTAAATTCATACTTCACACCACACTACAGTATATTGCATTAGATTGCAGTTATGAAGCCAACTGATTTGAAGTTTTGGGAATTTTAGTTCTTCAGATAAGTACAGTGTGACTAGACCACCACAGATGCTGCTACAGACCTGTTTTCCTCACCCATCCTTTTCAGGGAAGTGCGTGTGAAGACTGGGCTGTGGTGTGCTGTTGCTATCCATTAGCTGTGTGCCAGATGATACGAGAGTTGAAGCGAAGGCTGAAGTCTCAGACGTACCAAGTGTCGACAGCTCTAGACAGCTCCTGATTTTTCTGTTCTGTCAATTGACCACTGCTTTCCTGTGTTGAAGGTTAATAACTCAATTTGCAGGTCAATATTTTTTTTAATTTTCTTTCATTTTTTTATGTCAGCAGTTTTGAGTGTTGTTTTCTATTGCTGAAGGACCCCTTTTCAGGATTCAAAGTTAAAGTAAATCAAACTTACAGTAAGTGTCAAATTATTGCACAAAATGCTGCCGCCAAGCATGAAATATTAAAAGCAGAGCTGCAGACCATCCTCTGTCCAGTCTAAGCACTGGCAGAACAGATTTTTGATTTTATACACTGCAGTACCAGATCTCTGGCTGAGAACACTTGATATACTGTATTTCACAAGAAGGGTCCTTTCTTTTATGGCCATGTAAATCATAAATTTGCTAGAGGAAGGATCATATATTGTGATCCTTGATTTAGCTAAATTAAGAACCTTTTTTGACAATTACCTTGTGGCTTTCAATTCCTCTTATGTGGCTGACATTATACCCTGGGAACCATGATTTAAGAAAGTTCTTGACAGTTTTGGTTTATAATGTCAATAATTTACACTTTTAATATCCAGGTGTAGAATGTTAAATGAAAAATAAAATTGTAACATATTTTCATAAGGTATAAAATTGACTGAAAAACTAAAATATATCAGATACGCTATAAACCATAAAGTACAAAATCAGGTTGGGATATATCATTTTATTTTTCATAATTAATAAAGATATATTTCATTTACCATCAATGAAGCATAATAGAGGAGCAGTCCAAGAAATCAAGTTAAGGAGTGCAAAAATTATGTACAGTTTTTCCTAAAAAATAAAGTCAACACACTGACCAACAGTATTTACTTTAATGCACTTGATTTGTCATCATTATCCTTATATTATCCAATGTACAGTACTGATAGCTCTTCACTCCTCTGAACCAAAACAGTTCTCCAGTATCCGCTCCATATTGTGTTCTGTTCTCTGGTAGAAGATAGTTTTAACACTTGGATAGATACGGTATATGGCACATGCAGTAACTTAAATTCACTCTAAACCTTTAATGATGGCACACATTAAGAATGGCACATTTCCTTGGTATGGGAAAAATTTAAGTACTTTATTGTAAAAACCTGTCACACGGTTTTTACAGTAAGGATGGGGGTATCATTATTTTATTCTTTCTTAAAAATATTGCATTGTTACTTTTAATAATTCAGAGTTTCACAGAGTACCTTTTCATAAATTCATGATGATGAAGCTAGGCACAAAAGGCTCATATTGTCTTTAAAGCCTACAGTCTGTACTGAAAAGAATGACATGCCTTTCAATTTTCTTTGAAATATTGACCCAGTTATGGATTTTATAAAACCTACTGATCTGAATATCCAGACAATTATTGGAAATGCTTCATTAGAATTGTTTACACTATATAGAAGGCTTATATGCATTTTCAAAATTATAAATAAAAATGTTATTGGACTGAAGCAATAGTCCTGTATACAACATTACAATATTAAAAAACCAGTGTCCAGTACAATGCTAAAACATCAAATGTTGTGCATACTGTAGTATGAAAATCAGGTGCAGTTTAATATCCCTCAATCAGTGTAATGTTTGAAATATTTGGAAGTCACCTGGATCTTATTTGTCCAACAGATTAAATGTCTTTAGCTCTTTATGAGTAAACTGACAATGAAGGAAAGTTTGTCTGCTGCTTTGATTAAGAAACCCCCTCAGCAGCGTACATGCAGGCAATGCCTTGCTTCAAAATTGTAAAAGAATTGTGGGTGACCTATGTTAAGTCTAAAATAGAAAAAGTTGTGTAAAATGTATAAACCATCTCTTTACCAATGGCAGTAATTCAATCAATCATCAGCAGAGTTTAAGCATACACTGTATGCTTTTATTTGCAGATTTCTGCCTTTCATCTGCAATATTTTCACAAAGACTTAGACTACACAGTAGTGTTCTAAAGTGATAAAGGGCTACTTTTTTAGTATTGTGGAGATGTTTTGTACAGTGTTCTGTAACTAACATTTAGTAAGATGAGTACACTCAGTGCATTCTATACAATTTAATTTTGGCAGGTCCCTTGCTGACCATTAGTCAGCTGTTTCTCAAGAAAGTCCAGGATATTGCACTGGAAAAGCCCTGTTTGTCCACTCTTTTCCTGGGTTACAAGGAACCGTCCATCCTGTCGTGTTTTTTGTACCAGCACTGATTCCCCATCCTTCAGGTTCAGCTCTGCATCACACTGAGCTGCATAGGGCAGTACCACTCTGTACCTGTAACGAAGACAGAAAATACCTTGCTTTTAGAATACTAGCACATACTGCATGCATTCATGTTATAACTAGGCTTGCTTCCTTTACTAAGTCTATAATGTTGCTGCACACAAAACACTGTAAAAAACACCAGTCTTTAAATCCTTTGGGTTTATTATAATTGCTTATTTTACTCCACTTAACTTCCCAAAGCAAGACAGCACTTGGCAAATTGAAAAAGGATCTTTACTTTCTAAAGTTAATAATGCAGCTGAGATTCATAAAGATTTCTAAATTAAAATATTTTTTTAAAAATGCAAGTGTTTAATGAAAAAAAAGTCCCCCTTTCGTAAGGCTAAAGTCACAGTGATTAAATTCGTCCACAGTCACTAAATTAAGCGATTTAAGGACCAATTTACCAAAATGTGTAATGAATTGATAATTATCAGCTTAAACAGAAAAGGTTTCAGACCTCTGATAAGATCAAGAAAACTAGCATGCGTCAAAAGTCAGTTTAAGCAAAACAATTTTAAAAGTTAGTGTTTCAATATATTATTTTGTGCGTGACAATAATCTAAAAGTAAAAGTAGGAAAAGGTAAAGCTTAGTTAACTCTACAATGTGCTGCTTGTTACTTTTGTTCACATTAGAGGGCTACTGTGTTTTCCAGGTCATATTAAAACTCAGTCTGTACAGTGAAACAACACTGAAATAACTGTGGGTGAAAGTGCATGTTATGAAATAATCCTAACCAGAACAAATAAAATGATTCTGACTTTTGAAAAGCGACAATGACTAATCCAGTGAAACTGATAATAAGACAACAATAATTAAAAGCCCTTCAAGGACCACACCTTAGCTAACCCTGTTCTGTCTTGTTTGTAGCAAGTTGGACTAGTTTAGTCTTGCTTAAAGTCCAGCACTGCAAGAAGAATAATTATGTCTTAACTAAGTATTGCTGCCCTCTTATTGTTTCTCTTGGCTTCCATCCTCAAATGCAACTCATTCGAAAACAGAGCTTTGAATGGGGAACTGTGTCAGCACGCATTGGCTGCAAATGAACAAGCAGAGGTTAATTCCACACTGACAAGCAAAAAGAAAAAAACATAAGATTTAGACTGTGGTGCCTGTTTCAGGTGTTGCACCTTTAGTTTTAACTCTAATGTGGAATTAACCTCTACTTTTTCCATCAGAAACAATCCATTAAGCCCAGAACCCTGTTTTTCACACTAGTAAACAGCACTGGTGCAATTAAATCAGATGTACTACCTGTTAGCATTAGGTTGGGACACTGAGGTAGCGGGCCTCTTGCCCTGCAGTGGGGCATCTGGACTGGAGATATCTGCTGAACTGCCCTTCCTGTATAGTGGTATCTTGCTGTCTGAGCCCCCACGACTGTGGTAGCCAGCAGGAACTGGGTTGCCTCTCTGGTCCTGTGCAGACACTCCTGGCCTTGTGGGAAGGTTTGTCTGTCCTGCTGGTGGCTGGGAGCTGCTCCTTGTTGGGGGTGGAGAGTCCTGGGTCTGAAATCGCACTGTTTTTGTAGGCTGCAATTAAAATATTTTGTTAACTATGTTTCCATTAAGAGAATAAAAACGAAAAAAAAAATTGAGGCTATACAGTAGTTGGTTTTTCACTTTAGTATCAATTAGAAAAAACAATTTAAAATAACACTGTTACAGACTCTCCTTAAACCACATTTTCATTTTTGACAAATGTGTATTGTTTCAGAGAAAAATCCTTTTTTAAGAATGTAAATATATTGAAATAGAAAAACGTATTGTTCTTAAGTTATTGTTCCCGATAACTGTGTTGCTCAGAGCTTGGGAGTGGCATATCTTAGTTTAGAATCAAAATAGCTACCTTTTCTGTATTGTATTTGTAGGAGTCTGGCTTAATCAAAATGGAGTGGCGAGCTGCTGTAGCCGGTTTGCTAGGCAGCTCTTTAGCAACAGACTCTATGGCATCCAGTAGCACAGAGCTGCCAGCAGTGGGCGATGTTGTCTCAGAAACCCGGTACAGCATCCGAGCAGTGCTTGCAGGCTGGTTATGCCTCATTAGAGCTGTAACAGGTGCAGAGGCGATGTTGTGTGTCTGCACTGTGATCCCGGAGGGGTGAGGCTGCTGGGGCCGAGCAACCAAAGTGGACGACTTCTGGAAAGAACTATTACTCTTTACCGATGATCCTGACAACACATGAAAACATTCTTTCAGTTTACTGCCATATTTAAGGGGCTTTGTGAAACAACAAACTAGTTTAATCATATCTCATATGAGTATGTACTGAAACAAACTGTGCTTCTTTACAGTGGCTGGATCAAAATGATAGGAACTTGATTTAAATATCCCAGAAAGAATGCAACTGTGTTTAATAGATATTACATATTGCTCTGCGGTTAGTATTCATACTTTCATAAAAAGTATCTAGGGCCGAACTCACTGTCCTGTTTATTTTTTACTTTCTAATGCAAATTATTCATAAGTCTTCAGACTGAGGAAAATTAGCTGCATGTTAAATTAACATATATCTAGGCCAAGCTTTCTCAATAGAAATGTACTGCATGATCCAGGAGAAAAGGCTTTTTGCATTGCCTCTAGAGTAAGGAGCCACACAGAGCTCCACCCTGGCTGACGCCTGTCGAAGCTTGCTCCCATTGTGCTTACCCCTCTGAGGAGCAGTGAAGGCACGCCTCACTGTGCCTCTCCCCATTGTTCCTTCCTGCTGGGCTGCTGCTCTCGCTGCGCCTGCTGACAGCACGGGGGTTGGCATGGCAACAGAGTGTACCTGGAAGTCTGGCCTTGTCGTCCCATTTGGAGTAATTCTATCCAGGGCAATCGCTGCGACTGGAGGTTTAGTCGTCAGAGACCTCTTTCCGGCCTGAGCAGGGACTGATTTGAGGTCAAGGAACCTGGCAGATGTTCTGTTTTGAAGTCAATAGCATTAGAGGGTTTAACTGTTCGAGATAAGCACTTACAATTGCAGTAGGAAACCATTCTGATTTAAGTAACGAAAAAAAGTGCTTTGAGAAATTTCACTTTGTGATACATTATTTTCATTCACAACTTTGCTCTTTGTATTCTATTTCATAGTTTAATCCCTTAATGAAAGAATAACCTGCTTTGCCCGACTGAGGGCTCAGAGAGGCAGACATAACTGTTAAAACTTGTCTAGTAATTATCTGGATTACAGATTTGCCATTTTACTGTGGGAACAATTTCAGTATACCATAAAATGTAGACCATGGACTCTGATAATATACTGTAACTTTTATTAAAGTAAATAAGAAAAGACTGATAGTCTTGTCTATCACACTATTTTTTACAGATCCAAATTAATAATCTGTTGCAGAGTGGTCTTTTTAATGCCGCTATATTTGTTGTATTTCAAAGATGTTTCTCTTTGATTTATAAAAAAGATCTCTGAAAATTCTCCGAAGAGTATAACAACAAATAATGTTATTATTTGGATAATAACATTAATATTGCAGAAGGACAATTGGCCAGACATAAGCTGTTTAAAATCAGAAGGGGGACAGGCTGATTTCCCCCTTGCTATTACGTCCTACACATGCTATAACGTCAAATTCCACTCTTCCCACATTTTCAAAGTGTGACCATATTATCTGTATGCACAACACTAAAATACTTAACCTGAACTACAACAGAATCCATTGGAGAAGGTGTGGTGATTATTACAGGTCAGCCAAATTCAGCTTTTTGTTTGGTTTGTTTTTAACTGAACAGACCAAGATAAATCATAGGCCTGATAATGTAGGCTGGTTGATTTTGTGGCCAACTTTAGGCATGCCATAGACATGAGGATTTATCTCTGAGCAAATGTTTCTTTCAATATTCTCTATATTAAGCCAGAGATACAATTTCAAACAGCTCTTGGGTAGACTATAGTTTGTTACCTCAAAAAGCTGGCCATGTTCCAAAGAGACATCACATATTCCTGACATTATTGACAGGGAGATACATGCACAGCCTAATGTTACATTTTATCTATGTACTGGCAGTCAGCATAAGTTTTGATCTTCCCTAGTGAGAGCACCGTATCAATCTATATAAAGCCATGAAACCTGTTATCTTACCTCAATACTGGGGTGACATAATTGCCAGGCAGGATGCCCACTTTCCCTGTTCTCAGAGACAGGCCTCTCAGCCACCCCTCCTTGAATTTTCCATAAACCCCCACCATCTCTCCCTTATGGAGCTCCAGCTCTTCGGGACGACGGGGGTTGTAAGAGGACAAGACAGCACAGCTACAAAACACACACCAAGCATCAGAGGCCACTGCCCTTCTGTAGAGAACCCACAGCACAGCCAAAACGTATCGTGCTCCCTTAAAATAATGAACATCTATTTGTTTCATTTATTAAATGAGCTCAACTGTCATAAGTCCTACAGAAATTAAACCTTTACCTCATTTATGATCAATTAACTATTAGAGAAAAGATTACAAAGTAGACTATTTGTAAAAACATTTAACTACAACACGTTGGAGATGTTTCTTGGGAGCAATACCTATATTTTACAATACACAAGATAGTGACAACTAATTTACTGTAAAAGAACAGAAAAGACCTTTTAGAACATCATGCTAAGAAATATGTCAGAAAATTATTTCCAAAGAAGCTTTTAATATTAGAAGACAGGAGATTAAGTGATATATTGACATTCAAAAAATGACTTTACATAATAAACATAAGAGGCTATAGTCATATTCCATGTAGTGTATAATACAAGCTATTGTAAAGGTGAAAAGGAACAGCTAAGAAGTATATTTTTATTCTTTCATGGAAAGAGAGACAAGGGTGTAGGTAGAACTGCTGGGGTGAATTATGGATGATTATTCTCAGTTTAAAAATCAAAAACAAATTCACTTTTTAGCTCATCTATAGTAAGGAATGTAGAGACAAATTCTTAAAGAAATCACACAGTTTTATATACAGCACTAGCTTACATGTGACACTGGGTTGCAATATGTCAATTGGAGTATCCTGCATCAGCTAATGATGTCATTTCTTGGTTTTTGTTATGTGAGATTTCCTTCCCAGTACCCATAGTGCTCATTACATATACAAATTTTGTACAAATAGTATCACTGTCTATACTTATGTAGGCCATGAGGCAGAGTGGCACTTTTGTAAACTGACAATGGCACTAGCATATCAATATAACATTTTATTAAGTAACGTTTCAATTTTACACAAAAGATGTTAATCTATATCTTGTATCATTCCTCGTCTTAACCCACTTGTTCCTTAGTGTTTCCACAACACTATTGAAAATGCATTCAAATTCATGTCTCTAGACATAAGAATTCATAGTATATGGTTGTTATAATGTCGTTATTGAAAATTGTATGCCTTCTTTAAACTATTGTTTGGATGTGCATTTTTCTGCAAAACGTAAGCACACAGTATAAGAAACAGACCGCACCAAATATCCTAAGGCAGCTATAACTAAAAAGAAATTACATTTGTTAAACTGTGGAGATTTTCAGCACAGCCGATTTAACTCTCTAATTTGGCTATGTTACAACATGCTTAGTTCTTGTGCATTCCTCTGAAGCAATCATCACCAGGTTTTTCCAGCCTGTAATAAGATCACCCTTCTTAGTGAATTCAATTCTTGAATTCTTTAGGGAGTTCATTCACCAGGACACTGTGTCCACATGGCATTTTACACATTTAAATGGTCAGATTTACTTACACACTGATGGAAATTTGCTGCCTTGAGTGATTATTCTCTGCAGAAGTAGCATGGGACTGTGGGTTTATGAAAGCCATGGTGAAAGCTGGTGCAGAATCTGCGACAATTGTTCCTTCAACAGGACTGCTAGGTACCTAAATCAAACACATTAAAGAGGGATCATTTTCTTAATGTGTTTGCTATGCACTCCTTATCTGCATCATACACTGTTCAAATATAGTTACAAATACTGCTGTTAAAAAGGTTAGTCAGAGTTAAGCAGGACTTGCATTTTATAGGATTTAAACAAGGTAAGTAATGGATATTTTAATAAGAAGAGAACATTCTTAAAATATATAGCATACAACCTAAAAGCAAAAAAGTTCAATGCGTACATTCTGAGATTTCAAAATGTCTTGCAAATTATGAAACAGTCAATTCTGAGGAATTCAGTCAATAACATTGCTCATCTTACAGATTTGTCTTTGCAGGAGTTACCGGTGCTTTATAAAGGCTGTAGAAAAAGCAAACCATTTTCTAACTGCATTTTTTAACAGAAATTCCTAAAATACCTGGTGTATTCCCAATACAAATCTATGACACTTTCCAAAATAGAGTGGTTTACAATTTCGCCATAGTGAAGGAAGCAATGCTTGAGAAGCAGTATTTCCTGGATGCAGAAAGCAACAAGATATATTTCACAACACCTCTGTGTTTCACATCCCTTAAGAAACAATGTTGGTGAATTCAGCACAAGGAAAAATCCATCTGTACATTTTCTAACTGGTTCTTCAAATTCAGGGTTGCAGGGAAGTCAGAGCCTATTCCGGCAGGCAATGGGTGCAAGGCACGATATACTCTGGATGGGATGCCAGTCCATTGCAGGTCAATCACAACGACTCTGGCGTGAGTGTCTATTTATCCAGAAGTCAATGAACCTACTAGTATGTTTTTGGAATGTGGGAGAAAACTGGAGCACCAGGAGGAAACCAATGTGAACATGGGGGAACATGCAAACTCCACACAGATATCACTTCAAGTTTGGAATAAAACCCAGGGCCCCATTGCTTCAATGCAGAAATGCTAACCTATGTGCCTCCCTGGATGTCAAAATCATTATAAAGTTAACAAAAATAACAAAGTAAAGAATTGGACATAGCCTTCAGATACAGGTATAAATAGGTTTACATTTTCCTTTTACAGTGCCTTGCGAAAGTATTCGGCCCCCTTGAACTTTTCAACCTTTTGCCACATTTCAGGCTTCAAACATAAAGATATACATTTTTTAGTTTATGTGAAGAATCACCAACAAGTGGGACACAATTGTGAAGTGGAACGAAATCTATT